ATGTTTTTCTTCATAGAACCCAGCTTCTCGGATTATTTGCTCAGCATACAGGCTGAATACATATGGGGACCTATGAGGGAGCTTCCAAAAGTTCATGGCAATGAGAATGCTAATAGGAGCTTTAGGATACAACTAAGGAAATCTCAATTTGACTAGCTTTGATCCTGGTGTGGCGCTGTGGGTTAATGACCTGAACTGCAGGAACGGTTTAAACTGCAAGGTTGGCAAATCAAGCTCACCAGCTGCTCTTTAGAAACCCTATACAGGGTCACCATGAGTTGGAACCAACTCAACAGCACTTAACAACAACAATGAACAACAAAGAAACCATTTTATCTCACATTGACAAGTATCCATATTCTACTCTGTTATTTTCAGCTCCTCAGTTATTTGGTAGCTAAGTCTCCCAGCACCCAGCTACCTCCTTTTCAGGACCTGCATGCAGAAGCAACAATGGCTGGCAGAAGAAAAGGCTATCTCTTCAAGCGTGACTCTTTTGAAGAATTGTTGTTGTTGTTAAGTGCCATTGAGTCAATCAATTCTGACCCATAGCGACCTTTTTTCCAACCTGCGGTTGCCTTGGCAGGGCCAGGCCAAATGATTTCAAGCTGGATGGACCCCTACTGTACAGGGTTTCCAAGGAGCAGATGGTAGGTTTGAACTGCGGATCTTGTGGTTAGTGGTACAGTGCTATCCTACGGTGCCACACCAGGACTCCAATTTCATTGTTGTTAAATGTCTGTGAGTCACTTATGACTCAGAGCGACCCTGTATAGGGTTTCTGAGTTACAGATGATAGATATGAACTGCCAACCTTGTGGTTCACAGGCCAGTGCTGATCCTATGGTGCCAATTGCTGTTGTTGTTATGTGCGTGGAGTCGGTTCCGACTCATAGTGACCCCGTGCACAGGGTTTCCAAGGCTGTAAATCTTTATGGGAGCAGAAAGCCTCATCTTTCTTCTGCGGAACATCTGGTAGTTTCAAACTGCTGACATTGCGGTTCACAGTCCAATTCATAACCACTACGCTACCAGAGCTCCTTATGGTGCCAATTAGGATGCCCTAAAAAGATCCAATTAAAACAGTGGCTTCTAAGGGGGTCTGCTGGGCCAGTTTAACTCAAAGCAGAGAGATAAGCTCAGAAGGTTATGGCAACCGTTTTTTAGGATTCCAATGGGATCCTAAATCTTGATAGATTTTCTCAAAGCACAAAGGATGGTCACAGGGGCTTATTATGAAAATGCAAAACAGCATTGGTGAGAAAAAGGCCAGGAAAACTGTGCTAAAATTTTTTTTCCCATCACAACAATGCACTTGCTCATTCTTTCAGGGTAGCAAGAGCTGTCCTATGAGAATCTTTTTCTGAAATCTTACCCCATCCACTGTACAGTACTGATCATGCCCCTTTAGACTTCTTTTTGTTCCCAAAAGTCAAAGAACATTTCAAGGAAAACAAAATTTGAGTTTGAGTTGGCCAACACTACTGTTTTGATGTGGCATAGATTAAAGAGTACAGAATTCTTCTTAGAAGGATTAGAGCAATAGAAACCTTCAAAAATATGTAGGCCTAGATGGAGGATATGTCCAGAAACAGTAGCTTCACATTTTTATCTTTTTATTTAATAGAGATTTCTAAGATTTTGTAGTAATCCTTTTTGACTCACCTCTGCTCTGCAAAATACTATTAGGTAGGTACTATGATTCTTATTTTACAGTTGATGAAATAGGCTCAATGGTTAAAAAATTTGCTCCAAATTCACAGCTGGAACTGAGCTACTAATTTACAACCTTCAAAGCTTTATGTGCTGTTTAATTACAATTTACTTCTCCAGATATTAAGAGAGTGACACCAATAAAAGAAACATTTTTGAAAGACAAAAATCACCTGGTCTGAGATGACTGTTTCCATTAAGCAGCTCAGAGCCTCCCCATTGACCTCAAGGACAGGCATTCATAAGCACCTCAAAAAAATGTTTTAACTAACTCAAAATACACAATTGGCAAATAAATAAGAAATAAAGATTTGTGAATCAGCTATGTAGAATATTAGTCAAATGCTTAAAAGTCAGTAAGATCTATAAGGTAGCATTGCCCAGACTGGTATGCTTTGCTACATTCTTCTGTGCCACAGTAACAGGTGGGCCATAAAAATAGTACTCTAAGCTCAAATAAACTGAGAGAAACTGGAATTGACTCAACAAAGTGGGTTTGAGCTCAACAAAATTAAACAGGTTTCTTTAATAAACGGTTTCTCTGAGTGTTTTTATGCTATCAGACACTGTGAACTCTAAAAGAAGAATATACTACTTAACAATTCCCTCTAAAAAAAAAAAAAGGTTTTCCTTTGTTCTTCAGACCATCTCTGAACATTTGCTGGAACTGTATTGTGTTTAACACCACTTTGAGAAATACTGCACTAATGGGGAGAGCAAATGTCCAAGAAGAGAGTCCACTATTAGGTGGGGGGAGGAAGGGAGAGAGGGAGGAAGGAAGGAAGAAAGGAAAGACGGAGGAAGGAAAGAAGGCAGGAGAAAGGGAGGAAGGAAGGAGGGAAGAATGGAAGAAAGAAACCCAACAAAGAAGATAGTGAAGAAGTTAGGTAGAGAATCTGGAGAGTTTAATACTAACAAAAGCAAGAAAGGAGGTAGTTTTCAAAAGGCTAGAGATAATCAATAGGATCAAACTACAGAGAGATTGACTAGATTGAGAATAGAAAATAGTTTTTGGATTTGACTAGGACTGCTACTTGTGAAAGGAGCTCTGGTAGCATAGTGGTACGAATTGGGCTGCGAACTGCAAGGTCAGCTGTTCGAAACTACCAGCTGTTCCGCAGGAGAAAGATGAGGAGTTCTGCTCCGGTAAAGATTTACAGCCTCGGAAACCCTGTACAGGATCACTGAGTCTGAACCGACTCCAAGGCACACAGCAGCAGCTACTTGTGACCTTCACCAGAATAGCTTCGGAAAAAAAGGATGGAAGACAACTGAAACAAAAAAAGACTAGAAATGTAATGAAAAAAAGAGGAAGTAGATGAAGCATTTATTTTGTTGCTTTTGTTAAGTGCCTTCAAGTCGTTTCTGACTCATAAAGACCCTGTGTGGGGTTTCCAAGGAGCGGCTAGTGAGTCTGAACCGCCGACCTTGAGGTTTAAATTTATAGACTACCAACAAATAGAGATTAGTAGTTAAAGTTTAAAAGAAATTAATTGATTGAGAAGCGTATGTAGAGGAATTTAAAAATTTTAAAACAGGTGACATTAAAAAACTGATAATCCAATGGATAGAAGAAATGCAATCCTGAATATGAATTACTAGAAAAGACATCTTTACCTTGAGATTAGAAAGATTTTGAATAGTAATGCCTAATCATTCAAGTATAAACACACACCAAACCCACTGCCATTGTATTGAATCGGACTTAAAGCAGACCAAGAGGTGAGAACAGAGCTGCCCACAGGGTTTCCAAGCCTGCCATCTTTACAGAGAACTCCTGGTATGGTGCTATAGGATAAGCACTGGACTGTGAAACACAAGGTTGACAGTTCAACTCTACCAGCTGCTCCTCAGAAACCCCTTACTGGGTTGTTATGAGTTGTAATCAACATGAGTGCACTTAACAACAACAAGCGATATGGAAGCAGACTACCACATCTTTCTCTCGTGAAGCTGTTGGTGGGTTAGAGTCACCAAATATGAAGATCTTATTTTAATACTCTAAAATTTCATGGATTTTTGCCTAAATACCCAGGAGGCCTGGTAAGACACTAGTATAAACACTGGACTGCTAACAGTGGCATTGATTCATTCAAGACCACCCTCAAAAACCCTATACAGGGTTCATTATGAGTCAGAACTGACTCAAGGACACACAGCAACCATCACCCAGAGTTTTACAGATTTCAGAGTTCACTGTGCAATGCACACAAATCTGCTGATCCTCTAGCCCTCTTAGAGGATGATTATAGAGAAGTACTTACCTCCGGAACACAATGTTGATAAAATGAGAAACAAGGTAAAAGCTGATGACAATTCTGATAGTAACATACACACACACACACACACACACACAAAGGTGAAGATTACCAAAGAACATCCACATTCCCACCCAGACATTTTCACTAGACACAGTAGCTGCAAGAGTTATAAACTACTAATAAACAAATCTCCAAATAGGCTGGTGAAAACAAAGGCCATTTTACTGGTCTGGTAACTTTTTAAACTTAAAACTCTGTATGGCTTTCTAGGTGCATAAAACATCAATTTACTAGTTCCCTACGAAAACAAGATTTCATTTTTATGAACAATAAAGGTACTGACATGAGATTCTATTACTTCGAAAATATTTCTTTGCCTAATTTTGTTACCAATTCAAATTGAGTATATAATTATGGATTAACTATGCCCAAGTCAAGTGTGGCTCATAAAAGGCTCCAGGGTTCCACATTTCTATCACAAAAAGGCAGTAACGTACACTTCTTTAATGACTTAATACATCTCCCTATGGATTTAAGAAGTCATCTTGCTTTAAAAATAAAGGGTGACCAACACAAACACCAGAATGCAGGCGACACTTTATTCTTTAAATAATGAAATTAATGTTGATTCGTGCGCACGGAATAAAGATGAAGCAACAATACCCACATTAAACCTGGCGGTCTCCAGGTTTGTGAGTTTCTGAACGTAAAGGGCCACATAGGCCAGAGATTATTACCACTGCCAGCTCAGCAGCTGAGCCTGGAGAAAAGCCGGCATCCACACACAGTCCACGCTTACAGCCAGTTTTGCCTGGTAGGGACGGGAGCATGAAGGAAAGGATGGTAGCAGAAACATGTGAGGAATCTGACAGAAACGGGGTTGTTAGGCAATAGGGATCCCTCTAGTGCTGCAATCCTGGAAAGGATAAGACAACCGTTGGTGGACACCCCCCCCCTTCCCGCCCCCTTCTTGGTCTGAAGGAAACTAGCGGATGGTGGGGGCTGAGGAAAAGGGCTAGTCCTTACCTTGTCATCCTCGCATCTCTTCCCCAGGCCCTCCCTGGCCTGCAGCCGGCTGCTGAGACGGCCGTAGTCGGCCTCCTTCTGGTCGATCTGTTTCTTGTGCGAGTCCACTAAGAGCAGGAGGTCCGAATTGCGTTTCTCCAGGCGTCCGCGGGCCACCTCAGTGCGCTGGACCTGGCCCTGCAGCTCCGCCACCTCCTCCTGAAGCAGGACGTGGCGGGAGGAGATGCTCCAGTAGTTGAAGGCTAGGATGGCGATCACCACCAGCAGCACCACCAACACGAGGGAGGGCAGGCGGCCAGCCCGCCGGTTGGCCCCGAACCCCACCATGGGGCCAAACTGGACTGTGCCCTGGGGCCTTGTCACCGACACCTGCGGGCAGAAGCTCAGGACCTCGGAGGCAGTGCTGCCCGGGGGACGCGGCCCCACGGCCGGCGAGAGGAGGAGGCTGGCTGACTTGCCCGGCTGCGAACCGGAGAAGGGGGCGGGGCCGAAAGCCGCAGGCCCCTCCCCGCCCCCCCTCCGCAAATCCGGCCCAAGAGCGTACTGGAGGCTTTGAACAAGACCTAGCAACCGCCGGCTGGAACCACAGGACCCAGATGCCCGCAACCCAGACCCAATACCTCAGGGTTGTGGGTGGAGAAGAGAGCCGGAAGAGGGAGGGATTGCCACTGGCCCCACCCACTGCTTGGGTCTCGGTCGCCTAGGGGGTCATTTCCTAGTTTCCGACGACGACCCTCCCTCTTCTCGCGAGAAAGTGTTTTTTTTTTTTTACTCGCCTCTTTCAACTTTATCTCGCGATGTTTATCGCTGTTGGGAAAGGTGATCGTTTAACTTTGGTGCTTCCTGTGCCTTTGGTACATGGGCTAGTCTTTTCGGGTGTTACCTGCACGATTCCCTCATCTGATATCTAGCATAATGTTAGTACTCTTGTTTTTGCCTTAGTGAGGGTTTTTGTATTGGAAGTCATTTGCAGCTGCGACCGCTTTGTAGAAGAAATAGCTGTGGAACGGAGGCCAGAAGGGGCAACTAGAAAGACTGTTCTTAGTTCAGTAGAAGGGTATTTTCTCGTTTCTCCTGACGAGTTGGGTGAGAATGAGACCATAACGTAGCGGTGCCCCAAACATAACAGAGAAAAGCCATGGAAACTAAGCTTTATAACTCAAAATGAGTGGGTCCAGCCTGGTTTCCATGGTTACCGCTTTTGCGAATGGTGAGCTCCTGTTTTAAACGCGCTGCTGCTGCTTTTGTCGAGCTGGGCTTCCAAAAGAAAAAGTCTAGATGCTGCCTTCAGTGAATGATAACTGATGTACTGTTGCTGTCGGCGAACATATTTGGATTAGAAATTTAAAAGAAAAGAATAAAACCTGCTCTGGCGTGCATTCCAACTCATAATGACTGTCTAGGACAAAGTAGTACTAACTTCTTACAGAAGCCTCATCTTTTTCCTGCATAGTGGTCCCGTGGGTTCAAACCACAGACTTTTTGGTTAGCAGCCAAGTGCTTT